CAGCGGTGAGGGTGCAGACGACGACTCCGGGGATAACGCTAAACCGCAGCAAGCAGAGACGCGTGAGAGCATCGTGTATCGCCTGTGCACAGAAATGCTCAACAAGCTGCCACCCCCATATGTGGACTTCCAGGTGCGCGCCCAGTTGGAGCGCTTGGGAGCCCTACAGCCGATGACCATCTTCCTGCGACAAGAAGTACAGCGTATGAACAAAGTTATCAAGTTAGTCTTGGCCACGTTAACTGATCTGCGTCTGGCTATCGACGGCACGGTCGTCATGAATGAAAACTTGCGAATGGCCCTGGACTGCATTTTCGATGCTCGCGTGCCTGGCTTTTGGGAGAGGGTGAGTTTTTTTAATGCTCTGTAGGATGCTGCCTCGACCGCCGTGAAAAACTGCCGCACGGGGGGGGGGCAACAACGATTACTTCTGCGCGAATTTGTTTATAGTGGAGCAGACTTTCAGGGCATCCATTTCACTCCCTCCTACATCTACCATGCTTTGAGGGCAACCCCCTTGTAGGCCTTTTTGATTCAGAAAAAACTATTTAAGTAGGGGGTTTGGGGATTAAGTATCGTGCAAAATACTCCCAAGATATTTCAGCCGGTTTCTTTACGCTCATCTGAAAAAAAATCACACACTGTAACAAATCAATAGTTCAGTAGTACGATTTTTTATCATTTTCTTTCGGGGTATTGATAAATTAAGTCATATTTTGGAGCAAACGTGCATGAATACATCCTTTCGTGTGCTTATTCTGCAGAAATTGGCATCTTCTTCAAGTTCTATACCTTAGGAAGGGGGGCGTTTGGTATTAAAAATGTTCCTACCCGTGAGTCTGTAGGATATAGAGAACGTCGGAGTCAACAATGTAGGATACGAAGTAGTCCGGCCGAGTACTTGACAATAGACGTATCCCAACAGTTATAAACTGGTAAATAAGATAAGGCGTGGAAGGCCAGAGTGCTAGGAATAATATACTTAAGTTTTGAAGAAGTGGAATATGAGTAATAGGTAATTGACTTCCTGCTGAGTGCAGTCTAACCGTGAAGGTTGGCCAGTCCGACGGTTAGGTCGCCGATTTCGGGAGTGTCTGAGCAATAAGGCTCTTCGTGGACCGGTCCTGGAAAGTGATTGGCCAGTTCGAGCAGACAAAGGTTAAACACACGTCCGTGACCTTAACCGGTGGTTTGACACCGCCTGGTGCGCACGTGCTTAGTGGTCACGAGAGACAGACATGCGGCCTGCCCCAGAGTCGTGCGAGGAAAGCATGGCTTAGAATACGAGGTCACGACAAGTCTTTTAAAACGGTGATATGTCGAATCGAATCTGTCCGCTAATTTATGCCTCGTGTAAAGTATACACCATGGTCCACATCCGTTGTGTTGAGCCCTATATGGTTTCATCTTAGAGGCATTAAACAATTTATAATTTTATTTAGATGCAAAGTATACAGCTTGCAGATTGAACAGCACAAACTTAAACAAAACGGCAGAGTAGTATCTAAATTGATCGGAAATTTGATTTTTTTAAAACCCAAATATACCCTACAGAGGAGTTTAACATTTGACGAACCGACAATGAGCGTGAGGCAGACGGGGGAACAGCGTGAGTAGTTCAGCATTGGCAGGCGAAGACGAGGGGAGTTATCGCATAGGTGTTAAGGCTTATAGGCTTTAACCATAACGGCAGTGATCTTCCAGGCCAGTTTCCTTAGGATAGGAGAGAAGTCTTTGGAAGGCCATAATAGTAGGAACAATGCATTGCACACACAAGAGTTAGGAGAAAGTTGCCACTCGGTCTGGCATGAGGTTCGACCGCAAGGGCCGTTTGAGAGCGCGGGGTTGGCACGTCTGCCGCACTCAGGAATCCCAAGTGTTCTTCAGTGCAGGACTTGTCGCATGGGCCCCAGAGCGGGCTTCGTGGGAGTCGGCTTCAGGACGCTGATTGGTCCGACCAGTCTGGGATACGTGTATGCGCCCCAGTTGCGCGAGGGCAAAGGTTGCACATTATAAAATTTAATAGTCATTTTCTTCGAGAATGAAACAGATTACTTTTATTTCCATTTTTTTAAATGGGAGGATTCGTTTCGCAAGACCAGAGTTTCGCCTGATGAGCTCGGTGCCGGAACGGATTAAAC